AAAAGGCACAAGGAGTCCTAGAGGTTCTTTCACATTCTTGAAAAAAAAAAACATAAGGAGAACCGAAGATTCTTTCATATTTATGAAAAAAAAGACAAGGAATCCCGGAGATTCTTTCACATTCTTGAAGTAAATGACACAAAGAGTCCTAGAGGTCTTTCATATTCTTGAGAAAAAAAAGACAAAGAGTCCCGGAGATTTCATCATATTCTTGAAAAAAAAAAAAACAAGGAGTCCCAGAGATTCCTTCAAATTCTTGAAAAAAAAACACAAGAAGTCCTAGAGACTTTTTCACATTTTTGAAAAAAAAAGCACAAGGAGACCCGAAGATTCTTTCATATTTCTAAAAAAAGACAAAATCCGGACATTCTTTCATATGGTTGAAAAAAAGACAAGGAATCCGGAGATTCTTTCACATTCTTTTTTGAAAAAAAAAAAAGACTCAAGGAGTCCTAGAGGTTCTTTCACATTCTTGAAAAAAAAAAACATTAGGAGACCCGAAGATTGATTCATATTTCTGAAAAAAAAAGTCAAGAACTCCCGGAGATTCTTTCACATTCTTGAAGTAAAAGACAAAGAGTCCTAGAGGTCTTTCATATTCTTGAGAAAAAAAAAGACAAAGAGTCCCGGAGATTTCATCATATTCTTGAAAAAAAAACACAAGAAGTTCTAGAGGCTTTTTCACATTCTTGAAAAAAAAGCATAAGGAGACCCGAGGATTCTTTCATATTTCTGAAAAAAAAAAGACAAGGAGTCCCGGAGATTCTTTCACATTGCTGAAGTAAAAGGCACAAGGAGTCCTAGAGGTTCTTTCACATTCTTGAAAAAAAAGCATAAGGAGACCCGAAGATTCTTTCATATTTCTGAAAAAAAGACAAGCAGTCCCGGAGATTCTTTCACATTCTTGAAGTAAAAGACACAAGGAGTCCTAGAGGTCTTTCATATTCTTGAGAAAAAAAAAGACAAGGAGTTCCGGAGATTTCATCATATTCTTGAAAAAAAAAAACAAGGGGTCCCAGAGATTCCTTCAAAATCTTGAAAAAAATACAAGGAGTCCTAGAGGCATTTTCACATTCTTGAAAAAAAAAAAGCACAAGGATACCCGGAGATTCTTTCATATTTCTGAAAAACAAAACAAGGAGTCCCGGAGATTCTTTCACATTCTTGAACTAAAAGACACAAGGAGTCCTAGAGGTTCTTCCACATTCTTGAATAAAAAAGCATAAGGAGACCCGAAGATTCTTGCATATTTCTGAAAAAAAAAGACAAGGAGTCCCGGAGATTTCATCATATTCTTGAAAAAAAAACAAGGAGTCCCAGAGATTCCTTCAAATTCTTGAAAAAAAAAAAACAGAAGTAGTCCTAGAGGCTTTTTCACATTCTTGAAAAAAAAAGCACAAGAAGACCCGAAGATTCTTTCATATTTCTGAAAAAAAGACAAGGTCCGGGCATTCTTTCATATGGTTGAAAAAAAGACAAGGAATCCTGGAGATTCTTTCACATTCTTTTTTGAAAAAAAAAGACAAGGACTCCTAGAGGTTCTTTCACATTCTTGAAAAAAAAAAGCACAAGGAGATCCAAAGATTCTTTCATATTTCTGAAAAAAACATAAGGAGTCCCGGAGATTCTATCACATTCTTGAAGTAAAAGACACAAAGAGTCCTAGAGGTCTTTCATATTCTTGAGAAAAAAAAAGACAAAGAGTCCCTGAGATTTCATCATATTCTTGAAAAAAAAAACAAGGAGTTCCAGAGATTCCTCCAAATTCTTGAAAAAAAAACACAAGGAGACTTGGAGATTTCATCATATTCTTGAAAAAAAAAAAAGAAGAAGTCCCAGAGATTCCTTCAAAATCTGGAAAAAAAACACGCAAGGAGTCGTAGAGGTATTTTCACATTCTTAAAAAAAAAAACAAGGAGTCCCGGAGATTCTTCTCTCTCTCTTATACTACATAAAAATAAATATAAAAAAAACTAATCAAGTCAAGATGAACAAAAATTAATTTACTCAAACAAATAGTTTATCTTATATTATATATAACGCAAAACCTTTCCATGAACTTTGATTAAACAAAATTTGTTTATTTTTGGCACGCCCTAGCACAAATTGAGTGATTACGAGTAATATTTCACCTACAACAATTAGAAATGATTATATCACAATTACGAAATTTTTTCGATAGTTATCGCGTTTTAGATGTCCTTGATTTCCAAAAATACTAGAAATACGCAATTCTCCGATACAAGTGCTACTTGAATAACTGACGTATAGGTGTGGCATTTGATAAGTTTATCCACGTGAAGCAGGTCGTAAGTGTTTTCACTGAACATATTTAAAAAAAGATAATAAAAACAAATTCTCTGAACACCAAGGCAAATAAAAATTGAAAAAAAGTGACAGGTGTACAGATTGTGATGACTCAACATATACTTCTCATAATATTTCCACTCTAACTACGTGTGTTAAAAGTGGAAGCTTTTCGGAACAATAAAAACGTTGAAATTTTCACATTGCAACCACTTTTATTTTAAAAATTACGCAATAAAAGCCGGACGCGAAAATGATTTATAACTCCAAAGCATGAAAATGTAAACACCACTAAATCACGTTCACAGCTAAGATTTTAATATTTCGAACCGATTTTATGATCTGGCAACTTCAAAATCGTTCCAATAAAATAACTAAAAATTGTCGTACATTAATACACCTGAAATGAAATTTATTATCAATTGTATCGCAACAATATGCACTTAAACAGGACATTTGCAAGTTTTATTACATAATTTCCGTTTATTCTCGTATTTTAGTACACGGATTTATACACCGACAACACAAGTTTCGTTACCCTACCGAAACAAAGAAAAAAACCCCCGAACGAAATAAAAACATGCAAGTTACAGTTCCGCCTCCTCTCAATCCAATCCCGGACCTGCATTGTCCCGTTTTCAACCCGCTTCGATTTATTGCTCGCCTTTTGTCAAAACTTCCGTCGCTTCAATCCGATTAAGCTTTACACGAATCTAATAATTCCGACGAACTTCGCAGGAATTCCCCCGTACAACTAAAAATAGACGACCGAGCTCATAATTGCGCCCTAGGAACCCGCACGATTAGCAGGAATGTTTGCCCCGAATTCAAACACAAAAAAAAATTCCACCCCGAAATTTAATAATGTCAGCTGCACGATGACATTCAGCTCGGTTTTGTAACGACGTTTGCATAGACTCGGCCGCAATTTCGTGTGTGTATTCTCGTGGATTAAATTCGAAACTTGTACAGGAAGCGACGATTTGAAGGGCGTGCTTGAGCCGGAATAATGTCAAGTTCAAAGTTCGAGTGTTGCGGCGGATTGTCCTTTCCAAGGAACTATTGTCAGATGCAGGAGACGAGTTTCTCACGATTCCGGGGGTTAAATTTCAGAACAAACCCCCTCATTATACATGCAACTTTTTATCCAAATCTCCCCGATCCCGGATTAAGCGACTTGGTAGAAATTGCGTTCGCACGTTCGTAAACATCAATGAAATATATATGACAGGTGAGGTCCCGGATCAACCGTGGAATCGACGCCAAATTTTAATTACGCAGGAATTTGTATTATCGTCTGCAGCAAATATTTCATAAAACATCCCTTCAGGACTACGCAAACACGCTTTCTGCTGTAATATTCAAGAGAAACATCACCGTTAATTTGCGCCTGAGTGAGGTTATTTCGTGCCAAACGCCGGCGCATTAAAAATAATAAAAGCACGCTTTTTGGGAAATGAACTCTTGCGTGATGGAAGGTTTGGGGCAATCGGGGCGGATTAGGGGATGAATAATTGCTGGGACGACTTCGGAATAAGAAGTTGGCTGGTCGACATGTGGACATGTCTGGACAGAAAAGTGAGATTGAGCGACCGGTGTTCGTTTTTATTATATAACAAAAGTGTGGACGGAATAACGAGGCGAGATTTACAAGTTTCGATGACGGAATTATTTAATTAAAAAAAAAAAAAATCGTGAAAGCCGGGTTTATTTATAGCACGAAAAGAAATCATTGTGATGTATTTGTTTAACTTGTGTGTATAAACAAGGCTCTATTAATAGTATTGTTATCGTTCAATGGCGATGTTTACTAGAAAAGATCTTCTATTTTATTTGTTTAGTGTTTTACGTTGAGTTAAAATCTTGAACTAACTTCGTGAGATACGTCTCTGTTTGACGTTTGTCGACCACCAGGCTTCAATTCAGTTATAACTAAATAAGATAATGAAATATTTTCACTCATTGATTATCACGAAACGATTTTACGACGCTTCTGAAGCCTTTTAAAACATTGCGTTGTTACGTTCAAACGATAAATCGTTGACACTTGACCTATAATTTTTTACTGAAGATAAGACACCGCAAGTTCCACGATTCATTTTAAAATAATTTTGAACAATCATTTCAACAACACCTAGAAAACTCTCAAATAAACCATCGTTTGCTTTTCTTATATATCATACTTTAAATAGCATAAAACTGCACAAACACGACAATAAAGACAAATGTTTCAGTTTTATCGCCGCTACAAAACGTATTGGAACATAAACCTGGATGTTCCAATTAGTCCAATCCACGACCAAACAACATCAATGTACAAACACGCCTTCGATTACATAACCATTATCATCTAAGTAATATCAGATAATAGCCATTCAATTTTTCTAATACTCGTGCTCCAGCAAAAATAAACGCGATTTACGTTATCACCCATTTTTTCGCTATTGACAGGTCAAATATTTACTTTTTCGTTGATGACAAAGATTCCTCCAAACAAATTAAGACAATTTAAGTCTCACCAAACAGGCGTCGGTTACAACCTCCCGCTTTGAGTATCGCCGAAATTATTCCGTTTGATCGAGGAAATTTATTGAGGGTTGTTGAAGAGTTCCAGGTGGGACTTAATTATGAACGAGCTTCGGGAGAAATCGATGGGGGATAAAATTTATTTAGGGGCGGGAGTTGGGGCTTACCATCGTCTTCGGTGTCTGTCGAGTCACTGTCGGACGATGTGGAAGCGCTACTGCGGTCGTCTTGATTGTGTTTTGAATTTAACACTAAACCCGCGGGAAAATTTGTCCTAAAGTGGCGTACTGAGTGTCGGAACTGTGCACACTGGAAAGAGAAAACTGGTTAGAGTTCGATAGTTATTAAATAGAGGTCGGGTTTAATTTATGTTTTGTTCACATGGTTTGAAAACAATCAATTAAGTCTAGTCGTACGCGTTTGACCTTGATGTACCTACCGAAAATTTATATTGTACATAAGCATGTGGTCGGATGTTGGTTGATTCATGCTTCTAATATTAGTAGATGTTTGATAAGAATTATGCATTTACGGAAAGTTTCCTAAATTCGATGTTAATTTATGGTTAACTGAATTACATTTGTCTAGAGTTTTTGGGTAAATGAACCTGGGTACTTTTGTATATTTTATTTGAAGCTTAAAATACAGTGGAATAACATTTTTACATAACACTAGTCCGTTCTTCTCCGATGATTCTCGTTTGCGTATTTTCCGTCTTCTTCTTTATAGATTCGTTGATCACGTTCTTCTCCACTTGCTTGTTCTCCAACTCCTTCACGTCCTTGAGGCTCTTCCGTCTATTATTCAAGTACTTCTCTTTCGCTTCGTTCAAATCGCTCGTCCCCACTAACTCTAACCTGCTGCTGCAACTATTCGACTTGATCAACTTGAATTTCACCCCTTGGTAGCCGTCTTTTTCGTTCTTCTTACAATTGCACTCCACACTTTTCATTTCGTTGTTTTTGATTTCTTCCATGATCGCTTTAGTTAGTACCGGCTGTCCCGATTGCTTCTTCACCACCCGTCCGCCGTAGTACGTCACGGTCGTACCTCTCACAGCAATGTTCCATCAGAGAATCGTACAAATTCTCCTGACTCCCAAAATCCGACATGTTGGACGGGTTGGAGTTGGAATCCGTCACCGAACAGTGATCCTTATCCGGATCCGTCGACTTAGCACCACGTTTGACGTCGCCCCCGTCGAACTCCTGCGAGCTCCGAGACCTGGGCAGCCCCCCTTCGAACATCAACCTCACCTGCTGTATCCGGATTCGGAAGCTTGTCGTCGTTCATCTCCTTGTTCACCCGAATCGGGTGGTAGAAAAAATGACGTTTCAACCCCGCGGGATCCTCGCTACGTTTGTGCAAAAGAGGGGTCACGTTCTTGGTCGTTTTCGCCTTCTTACCGCCCGATTCGTGCTGGATTTTCGTTCGGATGGGTTTGATGATGACGATGTTGTTGTCCCGAAGCAACTCCTGGAAACTGTAGTCCTGTAAATATTGCATCAACCCGTCAAACTGGCTCTCTTTCTCGCAATTCGCGAAGATCTTCTTCTGGAAGAGGTCGCTTTTGACCACGCGGTATCTCACATGGTCGAACTCTGGGTTCGTTATGCTCATGGATTTTGCGATGGGTTTGTGCCTCTTGTCGTCTTTGGACAAGATTTAGACGGTGTTCGGGTTAAGACTTTCGTACTGGTTGTTGTTCGATGGCGATTTGGACTTTGCTGGGTTTTTCTGGTTCTTTCTCCTAGGGTTCGAATTTCTTTTTGACGTCTTCGACTTTGGTCTGCACGTCGATGATCTTACATTTCGTGGGTGAATCCTCGCTGGTTGGTTGCTCCTCTTTCTCTTTACCGTTGATTATCTTGTCCCAGTAGGTCCTGATGGGTTTGTCAAACTGGCTCTGTTTCTCGTAATTCGGGAAGATTTTCTTCTGGAAGATGTCGCTTTTGACCACTCGGTATTTCATGTGGCAGTGTCCACCGGGAAATTTACAAAGTGGGACACAGATGTCGTTTGGGTTTTATTATTACTATTATTATTTTTAGTTTTGCCGGTGATATTGTCATTTTGAAAGAAACGATGTTGTTTTTGGAATTTTGATGACACTACCAAGAAAAACAAAGCTAGTAAAAAAAATGTGGAAGGTCATTTTGAAGAACTTCCCTCGCCCTTGCAGAATAGTCCGACAAATTCCGTGTCTTTAAAAAATTATAAAATTGGATTTTGCGATTTTCGTTTTGTGATTATTGTTAACGTCTCTAAAGTGGCGATTAATTCATACTCAGTTTTTTCCCAAAAAGACTCATAGATTTGAAGACATTCGGCAAAAATGTAAGACGACGGATACATTTTGATTAACAATTTACACTTTACGATATCAAAATTAAATTGTAAAATATTGTTATTAAAAAAAAAACCTGGATGTCTCAAGGTGAAAATTCGACACGGATTCATAAATTACACATGTAGAAGTATGTAATCCTATAAAATTATATATATGTAATACCAAAAAAAAGGACAATCTAATGGCAAGTAAAATGATACGTTTCACCCCAAATTTTTGTTTTTTAATTTATTATAAGGTGCTTTATCATTTTTTTTTTTTTAAGAAAATAGACCAATTTTGATGTTGAAGTTTTTTTATGTTTTTGTAAAAATCTCAAAGTCAAGAGGTTTCTACACATATAATTTAAAACAAAAATGCCAAATCTAAGCCCGCCCACCCGCCCTATCTCAATTGTGATGATTTTTTTTATGCGCCGTGAACCAAGAAGGTCGAGCTTACCTGCAAAATAGTTATTTCTGTACAAAAAATTATGTTTTTGAGTATCGTGTTGTCCAAAAAATGGAAAATATATTAAGAAAAAATAAAAAAGGTAAGCCCCGCCCACCCACCCCGTCTCAATTTTGATTGATTTTGCAATTAAATTCCGCTCCTTCGCTTCGGCTGTAGACGATTAGACAAAAATCATTACATTTGAGATAGGGCGGGTGGGCGGGGCTTATATTTTGTCTTGTTTCTTAATATGCGTAGTCGTCTTTTCAGAACAAGAATCTTAAAACATGTTTAAAATGGTACATTTTTGTAAGGAATTATGGATTTTGCAATAATGGGGCGGAGCCTAATTGATATTTCCTTATACAAATTTTCCATATTAAACGTATTGTAAGTTTCATCTTGTGAAAATAAGTCTACACATATTGAAACAAAAAGGCAAAATGTAAGCCCGCCCACCCGCCCTGTCTCAATTGTGATGATTTTTTTTATTCGCCGTGAACCAAGGGGGCGGAGCTTAACTGCAAAACACTTATTTCTTTACAAGAAATTAAAAACATGTTTTTGAGTATCATGTTGTTCAAAGAATACTAGTACATTAAGAAAAAAAAGCAAAATATAAACCCCGCCCACCCACCCCATCTCAATTTTGATGACTTTTTTATTCTTAGAAACTTGAAACAAGTTTAAAATGGTAATTTTTTTAAGGAAATATGGGTTTTGCAATTAAATTCCGCTCCTTTGGCTCTAGACGATTAGACAAAAATCATTACAATTGAGATAGGGCGGGTGGGCGGGGCTTATATTTTGTTTTGTTTTTTAATATACGTAGTTGTCTTTTCAGAACAAGAATCTTAAAACATGTTTAAAATGATACATTTTTGCAAGGAACTATGGATTTTGCAATTATGGGGCGGAGCCTAATAGCAAAATCGATATTTCCTTTTACAAATTTTTTATTTTAAACATGTTTTAAGTTTCATGTTGTGAAAAGAAGTCTACACATATGGAAACAAAAAGGCAAAGTGTAAGCCCCCCCACCCGCCCTGTCTCATTTGTGATGATTTTTTTTATTCGCCGTGAACCAAGGGGGCGGAGCTTAACTGCAAAACACTTATTTCTTTACAAGAAATTAAAAACATGTTTTTGACTATCATGTTGTTCAAAGAATACTAGTACATTAAGAAAAAAGGCAAAATATCTACCCCGCCCACCCACCCCATCTCAATTTTGATGATTTTTTTATTCTTAGAAACTTGGAACAAGTTTAAAATGGTAATTTTTTTTAAGAAAATATGGGTTTGGCAATTAAATTCCGCTCCTTTGGCTCTAGAGGATTAGACAAAAATTATTACATTTGAGATGGGGCGGGTGGGCGGGGCTTATATTTTGTCTTGTTTCTTTATATACGTCGTCGTCTTTTCAGGACAAGAAACATAAAATATGTTTAAAATGATACATTTTTGTAAGGAATTATGGATTTTGCAATAATGGGGCGGAGCCTAATCGATATTTTCTTATACAAATTTTCCATATTAAAAGTATTTTAAGTTTCATTTTTTGAAAAGAAGTCTACACATAATGAAACAAAAAGGCAAAGTGTAAGCTCGCCCACCCGCCCTATCTCAATTGTGATGATTTTTTTATTCGCCGTGAAACAAGGGGGCGGAGCTTAACTGCAAAATATCTATTTCTTTACAAGAAATTAAAAATATATTTTTGAGTACCGTGTAGTTCAAAAAATACTAGTACATTACGAAAAAAAGGCAAAATATAAACCCCACCCACCCACCTCATCTCAATTGTGATGATTTATTTTTATTCTTACAAACTTAAAATACGTTTAAAATGCTAAATCTTTGTAAGCAAATTGGATTTTGCAATGAGGCTCCGCCCCTAATTCTGTCAACGAATATAAACTTCATTACTATTTACATCAGGGCCGGTATGGGTGGGGTTTAATCTTTGGTTTTCATTCTTTCTTAACATAAATAGTGTTCTTTGAACAACACGATACTCAAAAACATGTCTTATAAGAGAAATAATAAGGATTTTGCAATTAAATTTCGCTCCTTTGGTTCTAGACGAGCAGACAAAAATTATCACAATTGAGATAGGGCGGGTGGGCGGGGCTTATATTTTTTATTTTTTCTTAATATACGCAGCCGTCTTTCCAGAACAAGAAACTGCTTAAAATGGTAAATTCTTGTAGACAAATATTGATATTGCAATTAAGCCCTGCCCTTCGATCTGACAACCAATGAGAAATTCATCACAATTGAGAATTGAGAGCGGGGCAGGTATGGGTGGGGCCTAATCTTTGGCTTCATTTTTTTCTTAATATACATAGTATTCTTTGAACAACACGATACTCGAAAACATGTTTTTAATTTCTCGTAGAGAAATAAGGATTTTGCAGTTATGCTCCGCCTTCTTGGCTCAAGGCAAATCAAAAATCATCACAATTGAGTTAGGGCGGGTGGGCGGGGCTGATATTTTCCCTGGTTTTCTTAATATACGCTGTCGT